ACTGCAATCCTCTGTCTGAACATTCATTTGGACATTCATATGGAATCAAAGGCTCAGAGAGGGTTAGTGACTTGTTCAAGTTCAGCAGATGATGAGTGACCTGTATGGCCTGTACCCTTGACTCTCAATCAGAGACTCTTGGTACATTCTATCTCACACCTCTTTAGATGAAGCTGATGGGGGTTAAAGATATTTGCCACCTGTATTAGTCTCCCAAGGCAGCAGTAAGTACCATAAACTGGGTAGCTTGAAAAGGTAGAATTTTTTTTATCTCACAGTTCTGGAGGCTAGAAGTCCAAAGTCAAAGTAATGAGGAGGCTGTGCTCCCTCTGAACCCTCCAGGATTGTTTCCTGCTTCTTCCAGCTTCTGGTAGCCCCAGATGTTCTTTGGCTTCTGGAATCATACCTATAATCTCAGGGCACCTGGGTGGTTCACTTGGTTAAGCATCTGACTCTTGATTTAGGCTTAGGTCATGATCCCACAGTCATGAGACTGAGCCCCTTGGTTGGGCTCTGTGCTGGGCAAGGAGCCTGACTGAGATTCTCTCTCTCCCTCCTGCCCCTCACCCACTCTCTTTCTTTCTAAAAACAACAAAACAAAATACACCCCCCCACACAAACCCTTTAATCTCTTCCTTTGTCTTTACCCAGTATTCTCCCTGTGTATTTATTTATGTCTTTATGTGACCATCCTCTCATAAGGACACTTTATAAAGGCCTACTGAACTCCAATATGATCTCATGTTAACTAATTACATCCTTAATGACCCTATTCCAAATAAGGTCCCATTCTGAGGTACTGGGGGGATTATAACTTCAAAATACCTTTTTGAGAAATACAATTTTTTAAAAAACTTTATTTTGTTTTGAGAGAGAGAGACAGAGCATGAGCAGGGGAGGGTCAGAAAGAGAGGGAGACAGGGGCGCCTGGGTGGCTTAGTCGGTTAAGCGTCCGACTTTCGCTTAGGTCATGATCTCGCGGTTCGTGGGTTCGAGCCCCGCGTCGGGCTCTGTGCTGACTGCCAGCTCGGAGCCTGAAGCCTGTTTCAG